CGGCCTTGGCTCCCTCTTTAGGGAGTGTCTGAGACCTAAGTCTCCCATGGGAGGAAGCACAAGTACCTCCTCATCTTTGGGACAACTGTCCCCAGGCCTAGCCACAAGCTAGGCCTCTCTGGTCTGCCATCCCCGCCCCAAGGGAGCTAATGGGAATGACAGTCTTGTGAGCTACAAGCTCACACAAAAGGACTGGTCATGGTGTCGATGTCTGGGATAGTAATATTGGAATGGGGGTTAAGTTTGTTAAATTCCGTGTGGTAAGCATGTTGAAAATATTATACGAATGTAGGAGATACTAAAGGTTTACTGTATAACAAAGTTGGTTATCAGTATCAGTATATTGGAATGTGATTGCAATAAAAGAAATACTGTTAAAAATGTGAAGGAACATGTTTGTTTAAGAATATAATGTTTGAATTTAGGTAATATTTATGATCTGTAATCTGTTGGTTTTAAATAAAATATAAGAAAAATATAACAAAGTCAAATAATAATATAAAGCAATATATGTACGGTTTAGCTAATATCGCAAATATAAGCAATATAAAATTATATGAACAGGTAATATACATTATATATATTGTGACCCATTCAGGGGTCGCAACAACTGTCCACACTGACAACACTGCCCGCCCTGACAACACTGTCCACTCTGACAATATTGTCCACCCTGACAACACTGTTCACCCTGACAACACTGTCCACTCCGACAACACTGTCCATCCTGACAACACTATCCACCCTGACAACACTGTCCACCCTGACAACACTATCCACCCCGACAACACTGTCCAACCCGACAGCACTGTTCACTCTCACAACACTGTCCACCCTGACAACACTGTTCACCCTGACAACACTGTCCATCCTGACAACACTATCCACCCTGACAACTGTTATGCAGGGTTCTGCGTAACATCGTAATGTACATATAGTGGAGAAGTGTGCCATAATAGTTTGAATGTTATAATTGTAGAGAATAATTTTATAATTCATAATGTGCATTTGAGGGCACTGTAAAGTACTCTAACTGTAATTATAAAGAAATCCTGCTAGGGATTTATTTTCCAAGGGTGTTTGGGTACGCGGGATAAGAGTGGCTTGGGGGAGTCACGTGGGGTCAGCATGGTGTGGAGGCTGGCGTCGGAGATCCTGTGTATTTATGCTAAGTTTGTAGTTGTGTGCTCCTTTTGTTTAGCTAACCCAAGCCATAGGCTCTTCTATGGCTTACCTGTATGTTCACCCAGGCTCTGACATGGTCAGGGTGCTGTGGGAGGAGTGAGGAAATAAGAAATGGGGTTTGCAGTGGAGTAGTGACGCCTGGCCTGACTAGGCCTAGTGGTTATGGTGCCTGTACCTCCAGCCAGCTGTTTCTTGTGTACCCTCATTTGGGCGTTTAGGATTAAGGTGTTTCTAGAGTGTGTTTATAGTGTTATGTTGAATAAATAGATATATTTCCTAACTGCGATTTTTGCCTAACCCTCTGTTAACCAACCAATTGAAGTAACACGTACTGGTTTAGCGCTTTCTGTTTTGACTGGAATAGCCCTGGGTGGCCTGTTTATGCTTGTGATGTGTGTAACTTTTACCTTGGCCCTTAGCCAAGGCACTAGCCCCCAGCTATCCCACATTTCTGCATAACAACAACACTGTCCAACCCGACAGCACTGTTCACTCTCACAACACTGTCCACCCTGACAACACTGTCCACCCTGACAACACTGTCCAACCCGACAGCACTGTTCACTCTCACAACACTGTCCACCCTGACAACACTGTCCACCCTGACAACACTGTCCAACCTGACAACACTGTCCAACCTGACAACACTGTCCACCCTGAAAACAGTGTCCACCCTGACAACAATGTCCACTCTGACAACACTGTCCGCCCTTACAACACTGTCCACCCTGACAACACTGTCCACCCTGACAACACTGTCCACTCTGACAACACTGTCCACCCTGACAACACTGTCCACCCTGACAACACTGTCCACCCTGACAACACTGTCCACCCTGACAACACTGTCCACCCTGACAACACTGTCCACTATGACAACACTGTCCACCCTGACAACACTGTCCACCCTGACAACACTGTCCACCTGACAACACTGTCCACCCTGACAACACTGTCCACCCTGACAACACTGTTCACCCTGACAACACTGTCCACCCTGACAACACTGTCCACCCAGACAACACTGTCCACCCTGACAACACTGTCCACCCTGACAACACTGTCCACCCTGACAACACTGTCCACCCTGACAACACTGTCCACCCCGACAATACTGTCAAACCTGACAACATTATCCACCCTGACAACACTGTCCACTCTGACGCCACTGTCCACCCTGACAACACTGTCCACCCTGACAACAGTAACCACCCTGTCACCACTGTCCGCCTTGGCAATACTGTCCACTCTGACAATATTGAGCATCATGACAACACTGTTCAGCCTGACAACACTGTCCATTCCGACAGCACTGTCCACCCTGACAACATTATCCACCCTGACAGCACTGTCCACCCTGAAAACACTCTCCACCCTGACAACACTGTTCACTCTGACAACACTGTCCGCCCGTGACAACCCCTGTCCACCCTGACAACACAGTCCACCCCGACAACATTCTCCACCCTGACAACACTTTCCACCCTGACAACACTGCCCACCCTGACAACACTGTTCACCCAGACAACACTGTCCACTTTGACAAGATTGTCCACTTTGACAACACTGTCCACTCTCACAACACTGTCCACTCTCACAACACTGTCCACCCTGACAACACTATCCACTCTGACAACGCTATCCACCCTGACAACACTGTCCACCCTGAAAACATTATCCACCCTGAAAACACCGTCCACACTGACAACACTGTCCACACAGACATCCTTATCCACCCTGACAACACTGTACACCCTGACAACACTGTCTACTCTGACAACACTGTCCACACTGACATCCTGTCCACGCAAGCAACACTGTCCACGCTAACAACATTGTCAACCCTGAAAACACTATCCACCCTGACAACACTGTCCACTCTGACAACACTGTCCACTCTGACAATATTGTGCAACCTGACAACACTGTTCACCCTGATAACACTGCCCACCCAGACAACACTGTCCATCCTGACAAGATTGTCCACTTTGACAACACTGTCCACTCTCAGAACACTGTCCACTCTCACAACACTGTTCACTCTGACAACACTGTCCACCCTGACAACACTATCCACTCTGACAACGCTATCCACCCTGACAACACTTTCTATCCTGACAACATTATCCACCCTCAAAACACCGTCCACACTGACAACACTGTCCTCACTGACATCCTTATCCACCCTGACAACACTGTACACCCTGACAACATTGTCCACCCTGAAAACGCTATCCACCCTGACAAAAATGTTCACCCTGACAACACTGTCCACTCCGACAACACTGTCCACCCTGACAACACTGTCCACCCTGACAAAACTGTCCACCCTGACAACACTATCCACCCTGACAACACTGCCCGCTCTGACAACACTGTCCACTCTGACAATGTTGTCCACCCTGACAACACTGCTCACCCTGACAACACTGTCCACTCCGACAACACTGTCCACCCTGACAACGCTATCCACCCTGACAACACTGTCCACTCTGACAATGTTGTCCACCCTGACAACACTGCTCACCCTGACAACACTGTCCACTCCGACAACACTGCTCACCTTGACAACACTGTCCACCCTGACAACACTGTCCACCCTGACAACACTGCTCACCCTGACAACACTGTCCACTCCGACAACACTGCTCACCTTGACAACACTGTCCACCCTGACAACACTGTCCACCCTGACAACACTGCTCACCCTGACAACACTGTCCACCCTGACAACACTGTTCACCCTGACAACACTGTCCACCCTGACAACACTGTCCACCCTGACAACACTGTCCACCCTGACAACACTGTCCACCCTGACAACACTGTCCACCCTGACAACACTGCTCACCCTGACAACACTGTCCACCCTGACAACACTGCTCACCCTGACAACACTGTCCACCCTGACAACACTGTCCACCCTGACAACACTATCCACCCTGACAACACTGATACATCATAAAGTCCTCATCACCACTGTATTGCTACACTAAACTGTCACAATCGCAACTGCAATGATACATCAAACTGTTACTCTCACCGCTGTAGTGATTCATTGTACTGTGACTATCACCACTGTAGTGATACACCATACTATCACCATCACCACTATAGTGATGCACCATACATTCACCATCACCACTGTAGGGGTTCATCATACTGTCACCATCACTTCTGAAGAGATACACTGTAGAATCGCAGTCACCGATGTAGTGATATACCACACTGTCACCATCTCCACTGTAATGATACACATTACTGTCGCCATCACTACTGTAGTGATTCACCATTTTGTCACCATCAACAATATAGTTGTACACCGTAGTCACCGTCTCCACTGTACTGATACACCATACTGTCAATATCACCGCTGTATTGTTACACCATACAGTCACCATCACCACTGTGTATCACTACTGTGGTGATGGTGACATCATTGGCAATGGTGTATCACTACATTGGTAATGGTGACAGTATTGCGTATCACTACAGTAGAGATGGAGAAAATATTGTGTATCACTACAGTGATGATGACAGTATGGTGTATCACTACAGTGATGATGACAGTATGGTGTATCACTACAGATGTGAGGGTGACAGTATAGTCCATCACTTCAGTGGTGATGATGACAGTATGGTGTATCACTACAGTGGTGAGGGTGACAGTATGATGTATAACAAGAGCAGTGATGGTGAAGGAATGAATCATCACTAAAGTAGTGATGGTGACAGTGGTGATGGTGACAGTATTGTGTATCACTAGAGTAGTGATGGTGACAGTATTGTGTATCATTCCTCTCTCAACCCTTGAGTGGAGAGGACGTGTGCTGCTGCTGCCCCCTGGAGTTGTCTGGTGGCAGTATTATTTTCACAACATGGCGCAGGCTAGCCGGCATGGTATCAACACAGTCTGCATTGAATTAACCAGTGGAGCTGTAACAGGGCCATCAATGGAGTTACTTCTGCCTACAATAATCAGTGATACCTACGGAATAGCCAATGAGGAGATTTGTGGACTTGCACTGATCGGTACGAAGAGGACTTTTGTAAAATTCAGCTCGGCGAATGTGCATGAGGCAGTGGTGAATAAGTTTCAGGAAGTGGTCATACCAGTTAATCATGCTGTGACGGTGAGGTTGCATGATGTATCAAGCTATAACACATGGGTTAAGATCAGGAATGTGCAGTTCGAGGCGGATGCATCTGACATCCGGTTCGCTATGTGTAAATACGGCAGAATACATACGGTCACTGCAGGAAGGTGGTCAGCCGGCCCATATATGGGGATACCTGAGGGTATGTACTCTGTCAAGATGACGCTCAGACATCCTATTCCATCGTACGTGGTGATGGAAGATTCAGAACTCAGGTATTTGTGACATACGCTGGGCAGCGACGCACATGTCATTTGTGCAGGTCGTATGATCACCTGGCTGCACAATTTGATAGACGACATGGTGATAAGGACCAGCAGCAATGACGTGATGTGGAGGAAAGGAGAGAGGATCAAGATCAGCCATATTCGACACTGCCTCAGCAGAGTTTGACATGGAGTGAGGAGGTAGAGAGGGCCGAAGAAAAGGAGACGGCAGGGGCTACGCAGGGGGATGACATCACTTCCTTGGACGTTGTACAAGTGCTGGATGAGGTTATCGTGGAAGTGAATGGCAGCGATGCGGAAACGTCGATAGTGTCGACGTTTGGGAACATTTTGAGCAATGAGAGTCCTTGCCAGGATGTTGGTACAGACCTGGATCTTGGGTCTGCAGTTGAGGAGGGCGTCGTGATGCCAGCTCGGCCTGAAGTGTGTGCTAAGGATGCCCTGTTGGTGAGAACTGTGGAGGTGGAGGTTCATCATGGCACTGCGCTGGATGACTTGATGCAGGTCGAGGGAATGACGCAAAGGCGCACTGCAATGCTTTCTGATTCAGACGACGTGCTTACACCCGCACAACGGCCAGGGAAGAAAACATGGGCGGATGCCATGCAGAGACGTTCAAGTGGCACTCAGGGGCAGGGGTTGGGTAAGTGTGCCCGGAAAGGGGGAGGGAAAAGGGTGCAACGAAACGATCAGGTGATAAGTCGGTAGTGTAAAGAGGGAAACCCCCTTTGTCGGTTTTAAGTGCCTGACATTAAACATCAATGGCTTGAGGACACAGAGAAAGTGTGAGTGGTTTAGGGAATATTTGGTGCGTCATGGTGTTGACATAGTGTTCTTGCAGGATTACAATTATAGACAGGATTATGAGTTGAAGGTGGATGGATATAATGTGCATGTTGGGCATGCAGTCAGATTGAAAGGAGGTGTGGCCATTTTGGTGAAAGAAACTAGCCCATTGGTTGTCAGGCATTGTGAGGGGGGGGGGAAGGAGAGGGTGATTCGTGTGGATGGGTTATGGGGTCAGGTACAGATGACGTTGGTGTATGTGTATGGCCCGGCTGAGGGTGGTGTACAGGTAAAGAATAAATTCGTGAGGGACGTTCTGGTATATTATTTGCGTGGATTGCCGGGGGTTGCTGTGATAGGAGGTCAATAGAACTGTGTAATAAGGAGTAAGGATGTTGAACCGAGGGGGGCTGGGCATTGTTTGAGAATATTGGGAGAATTGTTATCCGGGGTAGGATTGATCGATGTTGGGGGAGGCGGGGTGGTGGAGCACACATTTATTAAGCATGGGTATGCGGACTGGCTCGATCGATTGTACGTGCCCAGGACAGTAGTAACACATAGTGTGAGAGTAATGGATGTGGTATTTTCTGATCACAGGGGTGTTTTGGTGGATATTGGTTGGGAGGGGTTGCCAAGAAGGTGTAAGGGGTATTGGAAGCTGAATGTAAAGTTACTGCAGGAAGAAGAGGCTCGACAGTCATTTGTTCAATTGTGGAAGGAGTTGGTGGCGTAGGCTCCTGGGAATAGTGATCTGGTTAGTTGGTGGGACTCTGTGGCGAAATCTCGTATTAGGGAATTTTATATTCGTAGTGGGAGTGAATATACCAGGTTGAAGTATGGGTACCAATCTTATCTTGAGGGGCAGTTGAGAGCTTGCTACGAGCGTGGGAGTGCTAGTTATCCAGTGGACGATATTGAGGGATTAAAGGAGCATATTAGGGATTTGCAAAATGAAAGATTTGATGGTGCGTGAGTTTTGGGTGGGCTGGAAGAGGTGTTATGGGGTGACAGGCCTGTTGAGGCGACAGCGTAAGAGAAGAGTGGCTACAGAGATGATGGGATTAACTGTTCATGTGGGGATGGAAGGGTATAGGGATGGGCAGGTATTAGTGACGACTGAGGGTATGAGTGGATATCTAAATGCATGGTTTAGGTAACATACACAAAACGTAGGTATTCGAGATGCAGCTTTAAAGGAAATGGGAGGCTTTGTGCAATGTGAGATTGACGGTACAGATAGGGTAACATTAGAAGGGCCGATCATGGAAAGTGAGATTTTTTGTCTGGTGCAAGTTTAGGCAAGGCGTTGGGTGTAGATGGGTTGCCTAATGATTTTTACTTTAGGAATTGGGAAGTATTGAGAGGGTTTTTAGTTAGGTTATTCAGTGTAATGAAGGATGATGGGGAAATGGGTGAGCAGCAAAGGACTGCTGTCGTGGTATTAGTTCCAAAAGGTGGACAGACTACGGTAGAGGATTACCGAGCAATATCGCTTATGTGTGGTGATTATAAGTTATTTGCAAGGATATGAGGGAATAGAGTCAAACATGTGATAGGTAAAGTAATTGACAGAGGACAATATGGGGTACTGGGTAGGTCGATGTATGAAGGGCATGGAGTTATTAGAAGTTTTATAGAGCAGAGGGGGAGTTGGGGGGTGGGGGTGTTTTGGCATTGGAGTGCGGCTTAAGATAGCGTAGAGAGGGATGTGTTATGGAGGTTCATGCGTTGGCAGGGATTCGGGAGGGAAATTATATCTTGGGCGAAAACATTGTTTCAAGGAGCATCTATGAGAGTACAGGTTAATGAAAGGCTAGGTGTTAACATTCATATGGGAAGGGGTTTGTGACAGGGATGCCCTCTGATGCAAATATTGTTTGCGTGCCTCCAGAATCCCTTTTATAGGGCATTTAGGTGGAGTATCGCAAGTGGAGGGGTTAGTACTGAACAAGAGGGAGGGGCGGGTATTGTGGGTTATGTGGATGACATGACTGTTTTTGTGAGGGATGAGAGGGATTTACACATGGTAGGAAAGGTGGTAGATATGTTTGGTGAGGCTACTGGGATGGAAATTAATGTGGCAAAGTCTAAGTATATGGACCTAGGCAATAGCGCAAATAGAGGTGGGACTGTAGAGGGCGGGACTGTAGAGGGCGGGTGGAGTGTGGTGGATCAGCTATTGATTTGTGGGATAGTGTACGCTAGGAATGATAGGGTCATGCAAGAGGCAAATTCGATGCACATCACGGATTGAAAAGATTGGGCAGTTTGAGGACGGCGCAGAACGTTGCATCAGAGGGTTATTGTGACGAACGTCCTGTTGTATAGCAAGCTATGGCACGTGGTGGCAATATACCCGTTGAGGCGGCGAGAGGTGTAACGGTTGCAACATTAGATTTTCAGATTTATATGGGGATCGGGTTGTGATTGGCCAAGTAGAGGGGTGGTGATGCTTCCCGTTAGCCGGGGGCGGCTGGGGCTTATACCTTTAGAAAAGCATATGATGAGTGTGTATCTAAAATGCGGCTATTTGAGAGAGGGGGGGCGAGAAGAGGGGTGCTAGAAAGACTGCATATGGATATGCAATGATGGTGGGGGGTAGGGATTTAATGATTGGTGAGGCCATGTTGCGGGTTTTAATGGCGGTGAGGGATCCGGCTCGCTTCAAATTGAGGGTTCATGAGAGAGTGGGGGGTGGGTCTGTGGTGGCGGCAGTTGAGGGGGCATACCCATTGTATGCGTGGGGAAATATCTGGAAATGTTTACGGCAATTGCGTGTTAAACCAGGTGTAAGGGAGGTAATGTTTAGGTTTTCACATGAAATCTTGCCGTCTGGTGTTGTGTTATTTAATAGGAGACTAAGGGAGGATGGGGAGTGCAAAGCGTGTGGATGTTTGGAGACTATTTTTCATGTCGTGTATTTTTGTAATTGTTTAGAAGCTGTGAGGGTATGGTTAGGTAGGGTAGTTATGTTAGTGGGTGGGGAAGGGTTACAGGTGTTAAGGATGTTAAGTTTAGATATAGGTGGGATGAGTCAGATGGTGGTAAATGCGGTTGCGTATGTGGTTACTGATTTTATTTATACGTCTTGGGCCATGAGGGAGGTGGGTGTGAGGGAGGTGGGTGTGAGGGAGGTGGGTGTGAGGGAGGTGGGTGTGAGGGAGGTGGGTGTGAGGGAGGTGGGGTGAGGGAGGTGGGTGTGGATGAAAGAATAAAGGCGTTAGCGGCCACCATTTATAGAACTAAGTGTCACAATAGGGATCTTTATAGGGAAAGGTGGGAGACAGCATTTACTGAGGGATACCGGAGTTTTAGGTTGAAGGATTTACAGGATTTAAGTGTAAAGAAAGGGGGGGTTAACGGCGGGCTAGTTTTTTGAGTGGGGATTGTGGGATGGCTTTTAGAGTGTTGGGGTTTAGATTTGTCCTGAAAAAATTTTATGATTTTCCTGTGTAGCGAGTGTGGTGTGAGTGGTGGTATTACACATTTGTGTTTCCTTTATGTTGTGAAGGTTTTGGATAGTACATGTATGTAGTGTATTGGAGCACTACGTCATTTTGTGTATATAAGGTGAGTGGAAGGGTAGAATCTTACAGTATTTGTGTGTGAGAGAATGACTGTTCGTTATTGTGAGTTTACCTGGAGTTTACCTGGAGAGAGTTCCGGGGGTCAACGCCCACGCGGCCCGGTCTGTGACCAGGCCTCCTGGTGGATCAGAGCCTGATCAACCAGGCTGTTGCTGCTGGCTGCACGCAAACCAACGTACGAGCCACAGCCCGGCTGATCAGGAACTGACTTTAGGTGCTTGTCCAGTGCCAGCTTGAAGACTGCCAGGGGTCTGTTGGTAATCCCCCTTATGTGTGCTGGGAGGCAGTTGAACAGTCTCGGGCCCCTGACACTTATTGTATGGTCTCTTAACGTGCTAGTGACACCCCTGCTTTTCATTGGGGGATGGTGAATCGTCTGCCAAGTCTTTTGCTTTCGATGTGAGTGATTTTCGTGTGCAAGTTCGGTACTAGTCCTCTAGGATTTTCCAGGTGTATATAATCATGTATCTCTCCCTCCTGCATTCCAGGAATACAGGTTTTGGAACCTCAAGCGCTCCCAGTAATTGAGGTGTTTTATCTCCGTTATGCGCGCCGTGAAAGTTCTCTGTACATTTTCTAGTCGGCAATTTCACCTGCCTTGAAAGGTGCTGTTAGTGTGTAGCAATATTCCAGCCTAGATAGAACAAGTGACCTGAAGAGTGTCATCATGGGCTTGGCCTCCCTAGATTTTGAAGGTTCTCATTATCCATCCTGTCATTTTTCTAGCAGATGCGATTGATACAATGTTTATGGTCCTTGAAGGTGAGATCCTCGACATGATCACTCCCAGGTCTTTGACGTTGGTGTTTCGCTTTTTTTTGTGGCCAGAATTTGTTTTGTACTCTGATGAAGAATTTAATTTCCTCATGTTTACCATATCTGAGTAATTGAAATTTCTATCGTTGAACTTCATATTGTTTTCTGCAGCCCACTGAAAGATTTGGTTGATGTCCGCTGGAGCTTTGCAGTGTCTGCAATGGAAGACACTGTCATGCAGATTCGGGTGTCATCTGCAAAGGAAGACACGGTGCAGTGGCTGACATCCTTGTCTATGTCGGATATGAGGATGAGGAACAAGATGGGAGCGAGTACTGTGCCTTGTGGAACAGAGCTTTCACCGTAGTTGCCTCGGACTTTACTCTGTTGACGACTACTCTCTGTGTTCTGTTAGTGAGGAAATTATAGATCCATCGACCGACTTTTCCTGTTATCCTTTAGCACGCATTTGTTGCGCTATTACGCCATGGTCACACTTGTCGAAGGCTTT